AAGGCTTCCGTCTAGCTCATCTGCAACGATAACCCAATCTGTGGAGAATCCGTTGAACAGATTTTGAGCTCATCCCACCAACTTTGGCCACTTCTGCAGTCGTTAATCTGGGATCCATTTTGATGCTCCTCTTGACAGCCCTTTTAGTTCTCTTCGATGGACCAGGACGACCCGGATGCTACTCAGTTGTTTCCTTTCCGTGTTTCCTGAACTGCACGATGATTCTGTTGACTGTCAAAAGCAGGATTCCCAAATTCTGCGAAATTTGCCGCTGACTTATTCCACCATCTGCTTGACCAACTATCTTTCCTCTAACAAAATCTGACAATTCGAGAGAACCTTGAGTTCTAGGCATGTTGTAGCACAAGATAATTAGTGTGCAGACCATTTTCATTTATGTAGTGCTCTGTGAACACAAATTAGTTAACATAAATCAGTTATATGACGAAAAATTAGGTGTCTATTTACTTGTGACCACTCAGTGTATATATACACATACACACACATGTTCATATATAAGTAGACTTACTTCTATTGATAATCTTATGTGATTTTCTGTTTTTCTTTCTCAGAGAAATATTAGTTCTCTTTCACTGTCAGACTCACTTTGTGAGTCTGTAGCTGCAATTCTGGCTGAACTTCACCTAGCAGCTCTGGAAATTCAGCAGGGTTGTGATCATTACCGGGTGATTCATCCATCATGGATTCAGTGGATGGTGCACTGGTACTCCTTGTTGTACAAAGAGATTGTTGAAGCTGAAACAGTAAGTTACATTTTAGAATGTATCAAATGCATTACTATTTAAGCCCTTGTTTGTTTGTTTTTAGCTTTATATTTTTTGGCCTTATGAAAAATTATAGCTTTTTGAGATTTTTACATTATATTATCTAATATTAACTTCAAGGAAATTAAATATCTTGCTTCATGATTGTAGAATTATCTTAAAAAGTATTTCTGTAAGTTTGTATGTAAGTTCTCATAAAGTTTTTACACATTAGTTCTCTATAAATATCTTTAACTTAATTATAACAAATTATAATGGATATTTTTCATAACATATAAAAAAAGATATTAATTTGTTCAGCAGTAATTTTATTTATGTTTTCTGGACTGGATATGGCCTAGTGGTTACTGTGCCTGGACTGTGAATCTGAGGATTTATAGTTCATTACTCACTGCTGCCAAAACGCATTCTGCACTTTTAAAACATGACCGCACTATAAGAGTGCCAGTCAAATCCCACTATTTGATCAGAAAAGAGTTGATGGTGAGTACTGTTAATAAGCTGCATTCCCTTTGGTTTATCAGTTTAAAAAGTTGTAATGGCTGTTGTGTAGCTTTGCATGAAATTCTGGAACAAGCAAGTATTTTCAAATATAACATTTAATACTTCAAAATTATAATCTTTAATGTCAGTATGTTTTGTAACTAAAAGTTTTCTAATTCATAATACAGTTGCTCATGTACTCATCACAGCACATTAACTCTGCTACAGTTTGACTAACATTAGAATATTTCATTGACAGAAGTGAAAACGTCCACTAGTGTACCTAACACAATTCTTTGTCATATTGTAATAATCATGCTTATTTAACATTGAGGTAATATAACTACTGATTTTACAAATTATAGCCATAGTCTTTTTAATTAATTAATTTTAAAAGGAAATTGAGAACATTTTGAATATGTTGGCTAACAATTAATACTACCATATAACATTTTTATAAGGCACTAAAAGAGATTCCAAGATTATATTGATTTAGACACAGATAATTTTTGCAGATGTTGTATTCTAATATTATATCATTACTTTGAAAAATTCTAAGAAATATACTCATTTATATATATATATATTTCAGTATGGAAATACATGTAATATTTCAAAAAAGGTATAAAAGTTTTTCCTTCTTTCTTCAAGATATAGCTCCTTGATAAAACTGAAATACACATCTTTTATTAGGTGCATGTGTGGCACTGAAGTTCACATATTAACAAACATTAATAGCATAAATGGGTCAAATAAGTAACTAATTTTCAGTTATCTTTGGTTCTTGATACTGGAACTTTTTCTTATAGTTTTAATGAAACAGTTAATCAAACTTAATAAACGGCTGTTGTTGGGTCAGTGTGAAGCATTTAGTTGATCTGCACAATGTACTGGTTGTTGAGTTAGTCTGAAGCATTTAGCTAACCTTAACAAGATACTGTTTGTGGGACAGAGTGAAGCATTTAGTTGAAGGTGCTGGTTATTGAGACAATATGTGAAGCATTAAGGTGCTGGTTTTTGAGACAGAGTAAAGCATTTAGCTGAACTTAACAAGGTGCTAGTTGTTGGGTCAGTGTAAGGCATTTAGGTTTGTTGGATATATAAGACTGTTTAGTTATTATTTAGTTCATTTAGTGATCTAATATTTAATGATTATTTAGTTCTCATAACAAGAGTGTTAAAAGTAATTATTTTAAGG